CCAGAAGAAGCTTTAGAAACTAGCTAATTTAACCTCTTTATTTGGCAGCTGAGGTAACTGACATCTGTAGAAGTTAAATGACTTACCCAAGGTCACACAGATAGTGTGATCAGAGCTGGCATTTGAACATAGGTATAGTAACCCCAAATACAGCCTTCTTTCCACCTCACTGTATTCCTCTTTAAGACTTTGAGATTAACTGGCCATGAGGATCATGTTTTATTGAACCTTTTTTGCAATCTTATTTAATCTTACCTAGTGCTTAGCACAGTTCTCAGCAAATGCTTAACAAAGCTTTTGAAATTCTCATTTCCTACTGAAACTCATCTGCAGGGCAGCTAGGTGGTGTAATGGATAGAGTACCAGCCCTGGAGTCAAGAGGACCCGAGTTCAAATCCAACCTCAGACACTTACTTGCTGTGTGACCCCCCCGGGCAAATCATTTAACCCCAATTGCCTCAAAAAGAAAGAAAGAAAGAAAAAGAGGCTTATCTACCCTATGCCTCACTCCCTCAAAGCTATCTCTTGTCTTTTAAGGAATCAGAGAGTTACAGAATGTTAGATCGGGAAGAGACTTTAGAGGCCAATCCCTGCCCATTCTATATATAAGGAAACTGAGTCGGGGGTGGGGGGAATAGCTTGTCTAACTCACCCAGGTAGCTAATATGACAACATGGAATCATGAGGAGAAGCTAAAAGCCTTCCTCCTACTTCAGGTTACTGCCATGAGACAGCTGGAAAGTCCTTCTTTTCACCTACACTCCAGTGACCGTGGCAAGGTCCTGGGTTCCCAGCCATAGTCCTGCTGCTTAGGTCGTATGGGGGCCCTTCAATTGGCTGCCCTCACTGTGGCTTCCAAAGCCTCTTTGGTTCCTGCGTTCCCTGTGGCCACAGAACTGGGGATCCTGGGATCTCCAGTCAAGAGGCTGTACTAATATTGAATTACAGAAGGCAGGACCGCCCGTGGGTGAGCGTACCCTATCGGGATACGGTCTTCTCCCAGAAAAGCTAATTGAGACTAGTACTCTCTTGAGAGTATAGTAAATCAGACCAACTGTTCTGTGTCCTGGCTGTAGGGCTGGGCCGCGACGCAGGAAGGCAGCCAGTGTGGGGGTGGGGGAGTGGCAGGCAGTGGCAGAAAGAGATGCATCCTGAGATGGTCCTAAAAAAAACATGAGGTTCCTACTTAGAGTGGGACTACAACTTTTCCCAACACCAAGGCAAAGGAGGGAACATGTGGACTAGTGAGGGAAGGGACTTGGTATGGAAGGCAGGAGTCCTGGGTTCTAGTGCTGGCTCTGCAACACATCGTCACTGTGTGACCTCTCTGAGGGTCTGTTTCCTCTAACCACAATGGTCTATGGTTCTGTAACTGCCTCCCCCTCTCAGACTGTCTTTTCCCTTCCAGGAGATCCCTTAAGGGATTCCAGTGATTTGGGAAAAAATATTTGTCAGTCTTGGCCATCACGCTCTGACTCTGCATGAAATACGAATATTTAGAATGAGGGAAATGGTAGAGTTCTCCTGTCCTTTCTCCCAGCTGGGCCACGTCTAGAATATTACGCTCTATTTTGGGCACTGCATTTTTGGTGAGGGACAAGTTAGAGCATATCCAGTAGAGGGTGATGAGGCTGGTGAGAAAGTGTTGTTTGAAATTCAGTTGAAAGAACTATGGCTGTTTAGCTCAGAGAAAGAGAGGATTAGGTATGTAGAGGTAGGAGTTGGGGAGAAGGGAGTATTACACTTTTCAAATATTCTAAGGGCTATGTTACAGAAGAAGGATTAAATTTATTCTTCCTTGTCCCAGAGAGAAGAACAAGGAATAACAGGGGGAAGTTATAGGGAGGCAGATTTCAATTCAGTATCGGGAGAACTTCCTCAAAATTTGAGCTATCTAAAACTGAAATGGACCACCTCAAAAATCAAGGACTCACTGGAGGATTTCAAGCTGGATTTGTCTAATCTAGGGGTGGGGAATCTGCAGCCGTCTGGGTCCTTTGGTACAGCCTTTTGACTCAGTCCAAGTTTAACAGAACAGATCCTTAGGATCTGTTCTGTAAAGCTTGGATTCAGTCAAAGGGCCGCACTGGAGGGCCTAGAGGGCCACACTGGAGGACCTAGAGGGCCACATGTGGCCTTGAGGCCAGGTTTCCCCACCCCTGGTCTAATCCCTTCTCTGGAATTTTAAAGAGGGAATTCTTGCTTCAGGCAAGGACTGAACTAGGTTCTCTTGAGTCCCTTCTTACTTAAGGTTTTTCCATTCTATGAGTGGTATAGACTGTAATCTCCTCAAGGGCAGGAATCATGTATTATTATCTGAGCACCTAGGACAAGTACTTGCATAGGGTAGGAGGTGTTTGTTAAATGAAATGGAATTATATTTCACTTGTATAAAAAGGTTGGGGGGTCGGAGGGCGAGGAGAGCCTCGCCTCGTGGGCTACCCTCCACCCTGCATCACCATTAGATGGGAGGCCTTTGCCACGACCCGGATTTATCGCTCATTTTGGTCGGGCAGCCCACGTAGAATGCTGGCAGATGCAACTGGCTGATCTTGATGGCTTGGTAAGTAACCACTTTCAATGCTCTTTAGCGAGGAGGGCTGAAAGAGAACCCTTCTCGCTTGTGAAGGAAGGTCTGGCTGAAGGGCCGTGCAGGGGGATGTGCTAGGATCCACACAGGCAGAGGAAATGGGAACCTCCACAGCTGGTCTTGAGCCCCTGCCTGCCGGGGCACTCCAGATCCCCGCTGCCCAGTCACTCCCTAATTAGGTTATGAGCTCCTGGAGAGCAAGGGTTGTCTGGTACTTCTTTTGTCCTGCCTGTGGAGTGCATAGTTGGCTTTGTTGAGTTAGATTGAATTGAATGGAATGTGTTCCCAGTTAAGGTCATAAGACTCTCTCCATTCAGGGGTGCAGTCGTTTTAGAGTATGTGGGGCACTGCTCCATTTATTTGGGGATGTTCAGGTCCCAGCTGGAAGCCTTCCCCAGCCCCCCCCTTCCCGCCCTCCATTCCTCCATCCCCACCACTACAGTGAGGGAAGGCAGAGCGAGGATTCTCTGGCCTCCATTGTTACTCAGACGTTTCCAGAAGAGCAGTGAGTACTTGGCATCTTCAGAGTGTAACTTAAGACCTTCTGTTTGTATTGAATCAGAATGGGGGAAGATATAGAGAAAAAGATATCTAATGACTTCCAGTGTTACTGCCTCCTCTATCATCAGCTTACTGAGGTAGGCTCAGACCACCTGCTGAGGTGCAAAAACCACATGTGCCTCATAATTCTATCTAGGGTCCCATTCAATTCAATGAGAAACATTTATTAAGTATCTGTGGTGTACAAGGCACTATCTAGGTTTTAGAAGTAAAGTAAAAGCTAGCATTTATGTGGCACTTTAAGGTATTACAAATATTATCTCGTCTGATCCTCACAACAATCCTGGGAGGTAGGTGCTGTTATTATTCCCATTTTACTGATGAGAAAACTGAGGCAAAGTGAGGTTAAGTGACTTGCTCAGGGTCACATATGAAGTGTCTGAAGCTGGATTTGAAGTCAGATCTTTCTGACTCCAGGTCCAGTACTTTATTTAAGGTACCACCCAGCCACTTCTATGTATTACATAAAAAGACAAAAGGAAGAAAACAAGCATTTATTAAGTACCACTATGTGCCAGGCACTGTGCTAAGCACTTTACAAATATTATCTCATTTGATCCTCACAACAACCCTGGGAGGTAGGTGCTATTATTTTCGTCATTTTACAGATGGGGAAACTGAGGCATACCGTGGTGAAGTGACTTGTCTAGGGACACACATCTAGTAAGTGACAGAGGCTGGACTTGAACTTAGGTCTTCTTGACTATAGGACCAGCACCGAATCCACTGAGCCACCTACCTGCCCCAGGAAATAGTACCTACTCTGGAGAAGTATGTACAGTTTGCATTAGTAATGAATTCATAAATAATGACCTCATTTCCATTTTTACTTTTAGATATTGTTTCTGAATTTATCTTGAAACATGATTTTTAACATGTTGGGTCCTAAGTCATTTTTCTGCTGTAGGATCTTCCTGAAGAGGCAATCAGGTATAGAATATAAAGCAACAGACTTGAAGTCAGGAAGACTTGGGTCTGAATCCCAATTCTGGCATTTTCCTGTTGTGTGACCATAGGCAAATCATTTAACTTAAGCATCAATTTTCTAATCTCTAAAATGGGAGAATGCCCAGAGGACTTACCTTACAGGGTGGTTGTGATGATTAAAGGAAAACAATGTATGGAAAATATTTTGCCACTTGAAGGTGGTAGAAGAGTGTTAGCTCTCGTTAGTGTCTGTAAAAGGAGGAGACTGGACCAGGGCATCTTCAAGGTTCCTCCCTGCTCTAAAACCCTGTCACCTTATTCCAGGATGTAGTTCAAGGCTCATATGACTCTCTTAGTAATTCAGTTACTGAGGAAGTCTCTGTGAGGCACGGATAGAGTTTTGGTTTGATTATAAATTCCACCCAGAACAAGTTTGCTTGGCATCATTCAGAAAAAGCAACCATGAGGATGAATTTATTTTGTACTTTTTCAGCCATTTATTTACTTGCCATATAGACATGGGCTGAAGCTACATTTGTTTTATATGAGTTAATACCAAGTTCCAGTTTGCACAGATAGGAGAAGAATAGCAAAATCAAAGATTTAAATGGTCAATCCTCAATTATCCATGCTGATAGAGGTGGGCAGTGATTTTGGCAACTCCAAAATGATTTTTTTTCCTCATGATTTCTTTGTAAGAGAGTGCTTCCCAAATCACATTCTTTAGACCAATATTCAAATTAATTTTTAATCACTTCAGAACACACAAATGGATGCACTTTAGATGCAAGAGAGGACAGGAGATGGTCCAGATTTTATAATGACCCATAGTGACCTGGATGATCCCTACACAAATAACCAGAGAGTTGACTGAATATTCAATCAGCGAGAAGAAGAAGTAACACACAACCTCTGTACTTACAGGTGGATTAAAGACTTTAGGCCCCGAAAACTATGTCTTGAGATTGACTTGATGTTGTTGTTTTCTATGAATCTGCAACAGGTTATAACTTTTTAGTCAAGCAATGACAGCAGCTGGGAAGCTCGTGTACTGAATTGTGATGAGAAACCCAAGAGGCTCACTTACAGGTACTCGAGGTGAGGGAGGCCGATGAAAGCGTCATCGCTGATTACATCAAAGGAATTTGACGTGAACAACCTGCAGAGAAGAAATGTGGTTTGAAATCGGTGACTGTGAAAATGGCAACAATCACCAGGTTTTCTGTCTCTAATCCCCGTGCTCAGTATGGAAAACACCTGCTGGCTGCCTCTTATGATGTATTCCTTTGGGCAATTTCTGAAGCAGCTTTTGTAACCCCAAATTGTCTAGCTATAAAAAGCTTGTAGCACATGTGCTGATCCATTTCCCTCCCTGTCTTGTATACACACACACACACACACACACACACACACACACAC